TGCACTCCGGTCATCGTTCCCGAACGGTAACGAGCCGGGCACGACAAAAACATCGCGAGTGGACTAGCGGAACCGGGTAGTAGCCGTAACCTGACTACTATGTACGTACACAAGCCCAACATGATGAAAACCCGCTGGTCCCCAAAGGTTCCTGGACGGGCCCACTGTAGTAGGCGCTTGAAGTCCTCCCTACAGCGGTATGCATATGATGGAAACCTAGAACATCCGTCTAGAAACGAACATGATGGAATGATTGCATTGATTAAAGAAAAATAGTTAAATTCAATTCTTACATGTGTGCTTGATTATGATTTGTTCAACATGATGGCCCTGGGTTCAGAACTGGCTGATAGTCGATTATCTACTGTTGATAATCGATTATCATGTTGTGCAGCTTCTGTCCCCAAAGTCCTGCAGACTGTGATAGTCGATTGTCACCCTATGACAATCGATTCTCAAGTTGGTTTATCAGGAAAGTCCTAAGTTCAGAGAGAACTGATAATCGACTATTGCTCTGAGATAATCGATTGTCAAGTGAACCAGCTCTGACTCAAGAATCCGCAGGGTCTGATAATCGATTACCACTTATGTGATAATCGATTGTCACACTATGCTGGATCAACTGAGGAGTGCAGTGTGACCTGATAGTCGATTACTCCGTTCTGTAAATCAATTATCAAGGCACGCTGATTCCCATTTTGACTATTTGGTTATCATCAATGCGTTGGGAATTTTCTTTGAAACGAACGTTTATGATTACATGTTAAGTATTCCATGAATATACGGAGTTTCAAAATGCTTGTATTAACGAGTTCGTAACTTGATAACACAGACTCTCGTATGTTTGATTGTTAACCTACGAACATGCATAGATTCTACGTAGGTTGCGTACGATATTCCTATGAATATAAAGACATAGATTATAACTAAATGTTCTAGAATTAGAGGGACAACTACTCACCTCTAAATGGAGGGATTGATGGAACGAGGCGAACGAATGGTGCTAATGAACGGACAACCGACGATACGTTTCGCACGAACGGCCTAGCTCTTCTCCTCCTTCAACCTTGCACGCACCGAAGCTTCACCGGAGATTCCTGGGCTGCTGCTTATCTTGGCCGAAAATGAGAGAGGGAGAGAAGATGAATGGTGATGATGGAGTTGATGATTGAATTCACAATGGGGGTTACCAAAAGAGAATAATAAGAGTGATGTTTTATGGTGATTTAAGAAGATATTAAATGGGAATGTTAGGGATAGTGAGGGAGCCGAACCAAAGGCATGGGGGGGTTACAAATATATTTTCACTCCGTTATGTAAAAATCTGACCTGAACGGTACGCACTTTTTCCCCCAAGCGGGTCCGAATTGAACTCCGTTTGCGTTTCTGGAATCAGACAGTCAAGACGAATTTAATAATATGATCAAATAAATTTTCTAAGAACTCTTCATTTTCCCAACCCCGGTCCGGAACAGCAATTAATTAATTAAATTAATCAATTCTATTAGACCGGGTTGCAGGGCGTTACACCGGGTTGCAGGGCGTTACAGTTCTGATCGACTTGAAGCCCTGGAAGTGTTCTTAATTGGAATTTCAGTTCCAAACAAAGAATCACAGGTTCGGGTGATTAATTGAAACTCGGACCACTGTTCATCAGCAACTCTGGTTTCAATTTCTTCAGGTACTGCGTCAGTCTCTGCCCTTTGTGTGGCTTGTTGTTTAGGTGTTTCACTACACTTGTGCTTCTTGATTTCTTCGTGTGGTGCACCTTGTACTTTGGTCTCTGGCTTTTCCCTTGCTGCTTGTGTGATTTGAGGCTACTCCACTGCTGGTTTTCCTTTCTACTGCTGTTGTTCTTTGTCATGGGGAAGAAAATCAGTAAGAAGGGTACCAAAAAATACAAACAAAGCATTACCAAGTTTGTGATTGATGGAACACCAGTGAGTGAAGCAAGACTTCGGTCCACTTCAGAGACAAGCACATGTGGTGCTACTGCTGCCAAAACTGGAGCAGTTTCTACTGCTCTGGAAGAGGGAAATGACCAGCTGGGCATTAACAAACATACCCCCATTACTTCTACTCCTTCAAAAACTGTATTGAGGGAAAGGAAATTGAGAAATGGCAAAACCATGGTTCTTCAAGAAGCTGCGGATGACCCTGGTCCTAACCATGATGCAGAACCCACTGGACACAAAAATTGTTTTGAGGACAACACAGGAAAGGCTGTGGACAGTGGCATGGAGAGGCCTAATGATGACTTGGACAAACCTAGAGACTCACCCTCTATCTACCCTATTCTACCTGAACCTCCATCAAAGGAATTGCCTAATGCCAGTGGGCAAAACCGAGACCCCTTCTGAAGGCTTCCCTTTGAAGAAAGTTGAGGTGGGGGATGTGGTCAGAATACCGGCAGAAGGGGTTTCAAATCTTGAAGAGGAGTGGGGGTTCTGCCTTGTGGGCTGTTTCACAGGCCGGTTTCCGGGCATCAAAGCCATAGAGGGGTTGATCTCCTCATGGCATTTAGAGTGCAAGCTCCATCCTCACAAAAAAGGCTGGGTGATCTTCCAGTTTCTGAGTGATGAAGACCGTAGCAAAGTTCTCCATAATGGGCCGTACGTCCTCTATGGTAAGACCCTTTTACTGCGCATTCTTCCGGAAGGGTTTCGCTTTGATTTTGATGCATTTATGACGGTCGATGTGTGGGTTAAATATGTTGATGTGCCTTTGCAATTGTGGAATCCTGTTGCCTTCGAGTGCTTGGGGTCTAGAGTGGGAACACCCATACGCACCGACGGAGGAACGAAAAATAAGGGAAGGTTGAGCTATTGTAGAATGTTGATTCAGGTTGACATGTCTAAGGAGCTCCCTACGTCCTTTGTGGTTTCTCTCCCTGATGGAGAAGAATTTACTCAAAAGATTGTGTACGAAGGCCTTCCAAACTATTGCTTTCATTGTAAAAAGTTTGGCCACAACCAATTGAGTTGTAGGGTTATCCGAGCCCTAAACCACAGAAAATCCGGGAATTATTTTGACAAGTGTGATGGAAACAACTTGGGGAAGGATGACTCGGTAAGGAAAGGGGCTGTTACTCGTGGAGTTCCTGCCACTGCCAAGCCGAGAAGAAGAAGGAGAAGATCCAAGCGAAAGGCGGGAAGCGGACCTAAGGCCTTGGGCAGTCATGCCACGTCCACTCCTACTACGCTTCCTTCCTCAAATGACAAGAAGATGACGGCCAGGACTATGGGAAATGGTGCTGAACCAACTGCCCAACATGTGACCCATGTAGGGGATGGTGAGGCTTGCTCTTCCACCACCATTCCGAAGGTTTCTCCTGACCCTAGTGTGGTATCAAAGTCCACGGCCAAGGCTGCCAGTAAGGTGGCAAAAGTGGATGCTAAAGCTATGGGAGACAAAGCTCCAGCTTCAAACCAAAAACTGCAGCAACCCAAGGAAAAGAAGAGCTTGAATGGAAAACAGCCCGGCACTATGGGCGATGATGGCCAGCTCGTTGGCACCTCCTCCACCCCTACGCATGTTGAGCAAGCTGCCCAAGCAAACTCCAAGGTAGGGGCGTCCAACACAAAAAAGGGAAACAAGCCAACTGGAGCGGCCAAGATGGTAGACGAGACCACCAAAGAGAACCCACCAAAAAAGGCACCGTGGCAAGTCAAGCTGGACAAGCAAAGGTAAGAATGGCTCGATCGACTACTCAGCCAAGCTATGGATAGAGTGGACAGATCAGACCTTGGACTACCTAAGCTTGCGCCGGCCGAACTTCGAGAGCTCATTGCAAGCAACCCTCCTTGTTTGAGGGACGCCTATGGAGCTCCGGTGGATGTAAAAGAGTACGTGTACTGGGAAATATTGATGAAAGCATGTGGACAATTCAAATAGCCCAGGCTTTATCTCTTTTTCTGTACTTGTTTGGCATGACTTGTCTTTGATTTATAGGGGTATGCCCCGTTGCATTGTTTGTATGTCTTGTATGTACACTTTGTATTGACTCTTGAATATTAATAATTTACATCTTATCCTTGAAAGAACCTGATAAGATAGATGGCGGACAGAGTTTCTCTCTCTGGCGATCGCGATGAACAGTAATTGCGCACCAGTTCCGTCCATTTTCCGGCGTGTTCTCTTGGATTTCTCCATCTTTGGTTGTAGATTGATCTTCTACACTCCAAGGAGAGCTTATCCATCCTGAATTCCAGCGGCGTTGTTCAAGTTTTGGGAGACAACGAACTACCTAGGGTTCGCGACACTGTTCACCTTCTTCTGCAACAAGCTTCCCAATGGTTTTCTGGTAAGTGTGGCTGGTCCTTTCCTTGTTTCGAGCTGTTCTTAGATGGCGAAGGGCAAGAAGAAGGAGCGTAGACCTCCACCTCCCACTCCTCCAAACAAGAAAGACCTGCGTAACTTTCTTCGTCACATGGAGGACGAGTCTGGGGCTGGAGGTGACATTGTGGATTGTGCTGAGAATTTGGATAACTATCCGGTCATTACTGAGGAGGATTTTCTTCCTTGCACTAAACCTGGTGAGGTCAGGGTTGAAGATGATGATGGCTCTGATTCCCAGACCCCCTCCCTTGATGAGGAGAGGATTGAGCAAGATTTGCAGAAGGATAAGAGTGGTATTATCAATGCTGAAAGTCCCTTACCCAGTGATGCTACTGCTGGGAAGGCAGACAATGGGAAAAACACTGGAAATGAGATTGGGAAGACTCATGGTAATACTCCTGGCAATAAAGATGATACACCTAAAGAGAAGAAAAGCTTGGCATCGTTGTTTGAGAGAAACAGATCAGAGGATAAAGGAATGAAGCTCCATCAGGTGGACATGGCTGAAGATGAGGAGGTTTTTATTCAGCCTGAAGATGTCACACCCATGGAGGAGCTTTGGGGACCCTGCCTGGTTGGGTGCTTCACTGGCAGATTCCCTGGCCTTGCCCCCATTCAATCCTTGGTGGAATCTTGGAAAGTGCCCTGCCAATTTCTACCCCACCATAAGGGTTGGGTGATCTTTAAATTCCTCTCTATGAGGACAGGGACTCAGTGCTACATATGGATGATCATAGAATAAACAACAAAAAGCGGCTCCTCAACATACCACAAAATGGATTTATGTGGAATGCTAAGTCCTTTTCAACCATGCCAGTTTGGGTCAAACTTATGGATGTGCCAATGCAATTCTGGGGGCACAATTCTTTGTCCAAAATAGCTTCAAAACTGGGAAAACCACTCTTTACTAATGGCCTCACCAACAAAGTGGCATCCAAATTCACCTTGGAGGAGGACCCTGATGACAAATTGGCTTATAAGAAGCCAAACTTTTGTAGGGTGCTCATTCATATGGATTTATCCAAACCCCCTCCCTCCTCTGTGAAGGTCAACTTTGTGGGAGGCAGTTATATGCAGCATGTGGAATATGAAGACCTGCCTCTTTACTGTTACCACTGTGAGAAGTTTGCACACACACCTTTTGACTGCTTTGATCTCCATGAAATGCAGAGAAAGGAAATTGCTGAAGAACAAAGAGTTTTGGACAAAGCTAGAGTTGAAGTTATGAAAACTTCTCTCTTGGCTGATAATGACAAGGAGAAGGAGAAGCCTAAACAGAATCAGAAAGGAAAGCAGATTCTGGAAGGTACTAAAGGTTGGGAGAAACCTGCTGACCCCAATGAAGCCTCACCCTCCTTCTCTAAAAAGGATGACAATGATGGTTTCACACTTGTGGGAAAAGGAAGGGGATCCCTTACTACACATCCTCTAAAGGAAGAAAACTTCAACAATGGCAACAAACAACCACACTTCATAAGGGAAACTAGAAGCAGTGGACGTGGACACAACCATGGAAACAAGGGGGGTACAAACAGAGGTAGGAGAAGGGGCCCTGGCCCTAACTCTTGATGAAGGTACTCTGTTGGAACTTTAGGGGGCTTAATAGGCCCTCTAAACAAAACTTTTTGTGTAAATATATTTTGGATCTTAGCATGCATTTAAGCTGTATTTTGGAAACCAAAATGTCTGAAGCCAAGTTTAAACTCTTTATCCACAACAAACTCCCTTCCTGGTCTTCAACTGATAATTTTGCTATGATTGATGATGGGAGAATGGCTGTTATATGGAACCCACTTTTTGTTACTTGTACTGTTCTGGATGTTGGAGATCAATTTATCCATTGCAGAATTTTGTGTAATGTTTCCTAGAAATGCTTCCATATTACATTTGTTTTTGCTCTATATAATGTAACTGTTAGAAGACAACTATGGGAAACAATATCTGATTTTGGTGTAAATATCAAGACTCCCTGGGCCATTATAGGGGATCTTAACTCAGTTCTGAACTCCAGTGAGAGATTAAACTGTCACACCTATGCTTATGATATGACTGATCTGCTGCACTTTAGGCTTAATAATGATTTGATTGATGCCAAGTCTACTGGTACTCACTTCACTTGGAACAAAGGGAACAAATGGGCCAAATTGGATAGGGTAATGGTGAAATGTAAATGGGAGGCTCTACAGTGGGATTGTTGGGCTGAATTTAAGCACATGGAGTTCCAATCTGACCACTGTCCTATTCTGCTCCACCTCATCCAATCTTCCACCAGAGGCCCTAAACCCTTCAAATTCTTCAACATGTGGCTTAAACATGATTCCTTTGATAATACCTTGAAGCATGTATGGGACATGAGGATTAATGGTACTAGACAGTTTAGACTCTGCAAAAAACTGAAGTTGCTGAAACATCCTCTCAAACAGTTGAACAACAAGGACTTTGCACATATCTCTTCCAGGGCTGAGGAGGCTAGAAAGTCCTATACTGATCTCATGGATAAGCTTTACAAGGACCCTGATAACTTGGAGCTACTCTAGCTTGTTGCCAATACCAGGAAGAAAGCCTCTTTCTACTCCGATGCAGAAAGATCCTTTTTTCAACAAAAGGTGAAGTGTAANGATTAATGGTACTAGACAGTTTAGACTCTGCAAAAAACTGAAGTTGCTGAAACATCCTCTCAAACAGTTGAACAACAAGGACTTTGCACATATCTCTTCCAGGGCTGAGGAGGCTAGAAAGTCCTATACTGATCTCATGGATAAGCTTTACAAGGACCCTGATAACTTGGAGCTACTCTAGCTTGTTGCCAATACCAGGAAGAAAGCCTCTTTCTACTCCGATGCAGAAAGATCCTTTTTTCAACAAAAGGTGAAGTGTAACTTTATTAATGAATGGGATAAATGCACAAAATTCTTCCATGCAATGGTGAAGAAGCAAAGTGTGTTGAATAACATCCCTGTTTTGATTACATCCCAAGGTACTACTACTACTTCTTTGGAGGCTATTGTTGAGGAATTCATTGGCTACTACAGGCAGATTTTTGGTAATACAGTACCTACTACCCTAGTGGATTGGAATGTCTTTAAAGAGGGGCCCCTGATCCAACACCAGGATGCAACTGAGTTGGTGAGAAATGTGGATAGAACGGAAGTCAAAGAAGCCCTATTCAGCATTGGTGATGATAAGGCCCCAGGCCCTGATGGTTATACAGCTGCCTTCTTCAAGAAGAAATGGGATATTGTTGGTGATACTGTTTTTGATGCTGTTTCTGAGTTCTTTTTGAGTGGGAGACTCCTTAAGCAGATTAACCATGCCTTGGTTGTCCTCATTCCCAAGATCAGGGAGAACCTTAGTGCCAAAGATTATAGACCCATAGCCTGTTCTAATGTGGTCTATAAAATAATCACTAAAATCCTTTCCAATAGAATGGCTGGACTGCTTCCTAGCCTCATTAATCCTGCCCAAGCTGCTTTTATTAAGGGCAGGAGCATTGTGGATAATATTCTTTTGGTACAACACCTGGTTAGGGGGTATGCTAGGAAGAGATCACCCCCTTGCTGTATGCTAAAGCTGGACATCTCAAAAGCATATGACACAATCTCATGGGACTTCTTGAGGAATACACTTCAGGGAATTGGCTTCCCTCCCACCTTTGTGAACTGGGTCATGGAGTGTGTTACCACTGCATCTTTCTCACTTTCTATTAATGGAGGCTTGCATGGCTTCATTAAATGCAAAAGAGGTATTAGACAGGGTGACCCCATGGCCCCAACTCTGTTTCTTCTCTGCATGGAATACCTCTCAAGGATGATCAGGAGAATGCTCTATGGGAGCAGATTCACTTTCCATAACAGGTGCTCCAAACTGGGTATTACTCATGTTACCTTTGCTGATGATGTGATGATGTTTTGCAGGGGAAATGTGGATTCTGTCAATGTTTTGGCAAAAGCTATTAATATCTTCTCCCAAGTATCTGGCTTGCATGTGAACCCTCTCAAATCCAATATCTTTCTGGCTGGAGAGATCAAAGACAGGACAGAGGATATCCTAGCTTTGGTGCCTTTCCCTCAGGGTAAATTGCCTGTTAGATACCTGGGACTCCCTCTTACCTCACAGAGAGCTTCTAAAAGAGACTTTGCCCCACTTGTGAATAAGGTGGATGAACATATCAGAAAATGGAATGCCAAAACCCTGTCAGCTGCTGGAAGATTGGAACTCATCAGATTTGTCATCCAAGGAATTGAAGGATTCTGGTTCCAAGCTTTCCCTATTCATAAATCTGTCTTAGATAGGATAACCTCCCTTTGTAGAACTTTCCTTTGGGGGAGCAAGTTCTGTAAGGTTGCTTGGGAGGATATCTGCATGCCCAAGGATGAAGGTTTGAACCAGCCCTGTATTTGGAATCAGGCACTTTTGAGTAAGAACCTGTGGAATATTGCCTCAAACAAGGAAACTCTGTGGGTGCAATGGGTTCACTCTGTTTACCTTGATGGCAATGACTTTTGGACTTGGAGCCTTGGGAAAAAGGACTCCCATTTCTTCAAGAAACTGATTGATATCAGGGACATGCTGCTACTCAAGTGTGAGGACAGATGGGAACTTGAAAATCAACTTTGTGATCAGGGTGATATATCAGTTACCAAGGTGTATGACTTACTCAGAACCAGGGCAGTGATGAGACCCTGGATGAAGGCTATTTGGAAACCCTACATCCCACCCAGATACTCCTTCTGTGCTTGGTTGATCTTCCGTAACAGGATTCTTAACCAAAACTAGCCTTCATTTCATTGCTATGGAGAATAGATTATGTGAACTTTGCCACAAGGAGGAGGAAACTGGCCAACACCTTTTTTTCAGCTGTGAAACCTCCACACTCATCTGGAATGCTTTTAGATCTTGGCTTGAGATAACCTCTGCCCTGTCTACCCTGGACAGAGCCCTTACTTGGCTAAGGAGACTGAGGAATAACCATTGCTCTAAGAGGAAGATGACAAGGCTGGCTATTCTCAGCACAGCCTACCACATTTGGAGATTAAGGAATGGTGTGTATTTTGACAACAAGACCATAAATACTGATGCTATTGTGTGCAAGATCAAGGTGGGGGTCTTTAAAATAATGAACAGGTTATATCCCAATGGTGGTTAAGGGCCCCCCCCCCCCTGGATTTCATTGATTGGTCTCCCTGGATGTTGCTTGTGATCTTTGTGCTTACCCTTCCTATCCTTGTTGAGGATTGGTTGGGTGTTTACCCTGGTGGGATGCTGGACAGAGGGCTAACACTGGGGTCCCTTGGGTAACTGGTGTTATCCCTATGCCCAGTTTCTCTGGGGCTGGAAACATTTCAAATGTTAGAAACTCTCTTTGGAGGGTCTCTAACCTTTGTTATGGGTCCTTGGGGGTGTTTTGGTGGGAAACAAACCAGGCTATGCTATCCCCTTCTGGAATTGTAGAGATTGGCTTGGGTCCAGGGTTTCCCTCTCTCCTGTTTCCCCCCCTCCACTTCTTTTCTTTTCATCACCTTCCTTCTACTCCCACTTTTCTAGGAGGCAAGTTAAATAATATGTGCCAAATCACTCCTTGGATTTGATACCTGTTAGCTTACCTTGGCTCCTCTTTGGGTGGTTGGGTTCCTGATAGCTTGGGTGCTATTGGGGTGTGGAAACAAACCATACGCTATCTACCCCTTCTGGATAGGTAGGGAATGGCTTGGATCCAGGACTGGAGGATGTTCTCACCCTCTTTTCTTTCTTTTCCCCCCTCTCCCCTTCTTCCTTCTTCTTGCTTCTCCCTCCTTTCTTGGTCTTCCTCCTCTCTTCTCCCTTCTTCTGTTTCTGGAAACACGCTAAGTCTCACTCATCCAAACCCTCTTTGTTTTGATATTTGAAGGTTGGTGTGTCTTCCCTCTGGTGCTGGGTGGGTTGGGGCCCCATTGGTTCTGTGGACTGGTGGGGTTGTGAGGAAACAAACCAACCTCTATTTACCCCTTCTGGGTAGTTAGAGGTTGAGTCGGGTCCTGGTTTGTTGGTGTTCCACACCTCTCCTTTTCCTTGTCCACCCCTCTTCCCCTTCTCCTTTCTTTTGCTTCTTCCTCCTCCTTTGCCTCTCTCTCTTTCCTTACCCTCCTTCTTCTGTCTCTGGGAACACATCTGGATGCACTCACCTACACCCTCCTTTGGTTGAGTGACTGTAAACTGGTGTGCCTCCCCCTACCTTTATGGTTTCATTTTGGTTATTTATGTGGGTGACTTGGTTAACATATCTCTGGCTTTGCTTTGTGATCCCTCTCATCAGAGATGAGCACCATCACCTTATGCCTGAATAACTCCACCCTAGCTCATTTGTGTGAGACAGGTTTTGACTTGGTCCTATTCGGTGCAAATGGTCCTTTGGTGCTTCTCAACCTCTGATGGACTTGGTTCTGTTGTTATTGTGTCTTGAGACTCTAACCAGAGTTGGAGGGCCTACGTGGAGTTCAGCCTGCTTCACCTGTTCAATGGTCCTTCATCTCCGTCTACTACCTAGATAGCTTTACATGGATTTGTGGTGCTGTGATGCTGTACATTATTATTTTGTGATTAGGGCCTGATGCTTCTTGTCTACTCTTGCTGGAAGCTGTTGGAAAATGAACTCGGCCTGGTTTTGCATGTGGAATGGAATGGTCCTTGCCTAGTCAGTGCACCTTGTGTTGCTGGTGTACTCCTGTTTCAAATTGTGTTTGATGTAATGGAGATGTTTGTCTCGTGTTAAGACAACCTCCTAATCTTGGTCTTGGTTGGATTGCACTTGTATTTGTTAGTGTTTTGTATTTGTATGTGTTACACATGAGTTGTAATTTCTTTTATATACCTGTAACTTAAGCAAGTAACCACCTTGTGGTTAAGCTGTTGACATTTTGTATTCGTTTGATTTGGGTAATAATAATTTACATGTTACCCGTTGAAAGAACCTGATAATAATAATGGAGGCGGGGGTTTCTCTCTCTAGAGACCGCGACATGAACAGTGCCGCGAGGGGGTTTCTTGCCGTTTCTCCATCAATTTGAGTGCTTTGCTTCAGATTTTTGGAACCTTGGATGCGCCTATACCTGGTGAATCCAACTCAGGAGTTATTTTGCTGTTTTGCGTGAAGGATTTTGATAAAACGAAGGTCAACGCTTAGCGTGACACTGTTCACTAGCATTTTTGCATCTCTGATTCACTTCGTTCTAGGCCTTTTTGATTGATAATTCTCAGATGTTTTGAGCGGCTTGTTATCTTCTTCCATGTTATGAAGTTGTATTTCATTTTCAATTGACGCTCCTTTCGATTTGTGGCTTTTTGGGTTTTGAATCAACTGTTCATTGCGAGAAGCTGGAGTATGAAGGTTTATGCTTTCTGACCAAATATTGTGGATTCTCTGCTACTAATTGAGAGGTTGTTCAATATTTAACAACTTCTTCTTGACCTTGCTTTGTGAATTGAGTTTGGTTAATGAGCAGCTGGTCTTATGTGAATTTTTGCCCTATGAACTGATGTTTTTGCTGCTGTGTTTTTTGTGGATTTTATGAATTGCCTCTTGCGTTGTAATTGCTGGACTGGTCTTTCTTGTGGAGTGCCTGAAACTGAACTGTTGGGGATGGGTACTGCCCACAACACCATGTTGCTGGTCTGTGGGTTTGAGTTACTGCCTCAACACAGTCACTGCTTGGGCGAGGCCTTAAGGCTGCTGGTGAACTCATTGTGAGTGATCTGTGAAAAAGAGCCAGGGGCTGTTCGTGGTGACTTGGTGGGTTCGTGGTTGTCACTTCCCAGGGCAGTGAAGGGCTGGAAATGGTGCTGCCTGTTGTATTTAGGTGCCCTAGCGGCAATCAAATACCTATGTAACTGTACACTTTATCATGAATGAAAGGCCTTGAAGTATGTTTTATATCTCGTGTAACATAACATAGCTTCAGTCCATAGACGATAGCGCTTCAGTAACATAGATGAGGACTACGATGTTCTGATTATGAGACTGTTACTTCTTGACGAAGGGGCTGTGTCTAGAATATCCCTAGTCGCACTTTATGATAATACGGACGTCATAACGTATCAAGACTAGTACGTACGAGATGAGATAGTTGCGTCTCATAGACTATAGGTATTGTGATATCTTAATCTGTACGTAGGTGCATATTATATTGATAATATGTGACTGGATTGACCCATCTTGAGAATACTGCATGGATCTACAGTAATGTGTTTATCAGTATTCTCAAATCGACCTTGCTATAACTATCCTCAGACTTGAAGTTATTACATTCTCTGATATGTGGGGCCGTATGCTTTGAT